CCCAGCTCCCAAATAATTGTATCAGAATTTGGGCTAGATCAACAGACAATGAATAGAGTCCTATAACAAAGCAAATGCTATTCACAGCCGATTCAGGTAGTATACCAAGGCACTTCTCTTCACTTTAGACTTTTCATTTTTCTGGAAATTAATAATTCTTATTTGCTTAGTTTTTTATGCCACGTCATAGAGGTGTATCACTTGGCATGTCACTAATTCACCCCAGATTTCCCAAAAGAAGCTTAATTCTCTCTTCCTTGTGTTCACACACATCAGGGGCTCTCTCCTTTCTAGGACCCTCTGTGTCCTGATCTAGTGTGGTTGGGTCGTGCTCCAGCCTCCTGCACACTATCATCGTGTGACATTCCTTCATTTCCCTTCTTAGGATATTCCTTTATCTCGCTCCCATGTTGAACTTGTCTTTATTTCCCTGTTTTGGGTCCTTTCTCTAGTTTAGTGTTTGTTTTGGTGGAGCACATTCTCAACATCTTCATGAGAAGGAGTGCCTGGAGTATACATATTTAAGGCCATCCATGGGTACAAATGCTTTCATTCTCTGCTCAAACCTTGGGGGATAGTTGAGCTGGGTACAGAATCTTAGCCAGAAAATCCTCTTCCCTCAAAAGAACACCTCTGTCTTGAAGACTGGAGAGAGCCTGTGGGCATTAGAGAAATCACAGATGGTGTGTCCTGGCAGGAGGTGGCTGAGCTGGCCTGGATGGAAGTGTGGTAGTCAGAGCAGAAGGCAAAGAGACCCGTGCAGGCTGGCAAAGTCTAGCCAAGATGCGACTATTTCTGAGAGCAGTGAGAGCTGGTCAGTGTTTCTGACAGAGGGTGAGATGACCAAAGTCTCACTAGTGGAGGAAGCTCTTAATTGACCTCCAGACCCCAGAGCAGATGGAGGGAGACACTAAAAGAAGGTTTGGCCCAAGGTTAACCTCTTGGGAAGAGCAGGGCTGACCCTGTGTGTAGTAAGATAGAAGGTGCCAGATGTATTTGTGCTGGAGGTTCTATCTCAGCCCATCTCTTGTCCCATTGAAGAAACTGAGGCCACTCAAGACCTCCTTATTCCTGTGGTCTTGTAGGAGCATTCATGATCAATCTACCTGGCCTGCCCCAACCCTGTCCCCACAGCCTCTGGCTCCATTGACCTCCTTGAAGCCCTCTTCTCCTAATAGGGCCTAAGAGTCTTGCCTAGGGGGTAAGTTCTCAGGGGGATTTTAGGGATCTCCTCCAGCTGGGTCATGTTGGGTTGGCTTTCTGGGGACATCCACCCTGTACATGCCCCTGCCTGCAGACCCATCTCTAAGACCTCTCACACAGAGAGCTGGGTCTTTGGGGATAGGACCACTCTTCTCCCTGCTGGAGTCTCAGGGCCCAAGCCTCACAGTGGACTCACTCTGCCTCTTTAGATTCCTCCGCAGTAGCCAACTCCTACCCCAGGGATGAGACCCCTCTCAGGGGTCAGGTCTTGGGAATCCATGCCCATTCAGGAGGAAGGTCCAGAATTTTGGGTGCAGAGCTATCACCAGCTGTAGTGCTGGCCAAGGGCAAATGGCAACTACCATCTTGCTGTAGGTGGACAGAGCCCAGCAGGGAGAGCCCAAGGGCGAGGGTACGGTGCCAGGAGAATTGAGTCCAGGACCCTGAGGCCTTGGAGCTGATCCAATGTAAACTCCTTCACAAGTGGGAAAACTGAGGTGCAGAGAGGTGAAATGCAGGCCTCCCAAGCCACACAGTGAGTTTGTGGTCTCTATAGAGTTCCCTTTCCTCTGACCACACCAAGGAGTTAGTCTCTCAGTCTCTCTCTCTCTCTCTCTCTCTCTCTCTCTCTCTCTCTGCCTCTCTTTCACACACACACACACACACACACACACACACACACACACACACACACACACCTGTTTGTCCGGCACATCCACACTTCCAACATATTGGCAAAGATTTCCTGATACCTGTGTCCTAGACACTAGGGACTTGTGTGGTGGCTGGGCGCTCATCGGCCTGAAGCGGGTAGGACCATGGGAATCACAGAATCTCAGAAAGTTAAAGTCTTCATGTGAAGAGGGGAAACCGAGGCCCAGAGCTGGGCAGGCAGGGCCTCAACCAGTCACAGAGCCAGTCATCCCATCAGCGCCGTTTCCACCTCTCTCCCCATGAATAACTGGAGAAAGCTAAGCAAACATAATTTAATTGCCTGTCGATGACAGAATGCCAGGGGAGCCATAAACCCCGCCTGGTCTCAGAGCGCCTGCCAGGGCAGGTGGCACGGGGAGGCCAAGCTGACGGACTCGCCCCTGCCCGTTGGCTGGGCCTCCGGGGCCTCTCTGCGGCTGGGGACCTGGACCCCCTGTGCCCACCAACAGCCAAGCAGCTCCTCACTTGCCAAACAGGGCGCCCGGTGCCAGAGCAAACTGGGCCCGAGCCCAGCACACTTTCCAGAAATAGGTTCCTGCGAGAGCCCGAGGCTCCCCTCTCTCGCTGCCCTTCCCCTCTGCAGGGAGTCCTAGTTGTTGCCTCAGATCCTGGAAACACTTTGTTCAAGGTCCATAACTGCTGTAGAATGTTCCATGGGTGGGGCTGGGGCTCTAATTTACAACTTACCCATGTCCATCCTCCTGCTCTTCCTGCTGCCCCAGGGTGGGGTGCACCCTCCCCACGGGGAGAGGAGGGGAGCTGGGGCTCACGCATCCTGCCCTCTGAGTCAGCCTGCTTCCCATGAGATATGGCTGCTCAGGAGGGCTCCTGGGTCTTGGCTGTGAGGGCAGGCACCCTCCTCCTCACTGCCCTGCCGCTCACCCTGTCAGTCTTAGCACAGTCACCAAGGGGCTCCTGGGCACCCCCGTGCCTCCAGGTGGATGAGGGGATGGTTGTCTGTGGTGGGCTGATGGATGGGGTGTAGGGTGGGTGGATGGATCATGGGACTCTGCTTTGTTCTCTGTCTTTCCCATTAAAGGCTCCTTTCAAAGGCCCAGGACCTGACATCCTGGGCTGTCTATACTTGAGAAGGAGGCACTAAAGCGACTCAGGCTCCTTCCCTGTGGTTTGGCCTTACTGCTGGGGGCCTTTGGGACCCAGCTACGTCATAGGGGGGCTCCCCCAATGTCAGTGCCTGTGGGCCTTTCTCCTCAGGTGGGTCCCTGTGCCCAGGGGTTACTGCCCTTCTCCCACCTGGAGGGTCTGGTCCTCTCCGTTGTGAGGAGGCTGGGCCTCGGCCACGGGCTGTGTCCCTTTACGAGCAGCACTCATCTGCTGAGGGTCTCCTCTGCCCGTCCCTGTGCTCTGTGGTTTATAGCTTTCCCTTTCTTTACCATCCCTTCCCCGGAGAAACTAGAGGGAATTGATATGTACAACCTCCCCCTCCCCCATTCAACCCCAAACCCCCCCTCTCTCGCTGGTCTTTGTGAAGTCCTGCCCGACCTGAGTCAGACAACTGTATACATTCTTCTGGTTGTTTTAAAGTTTCCGTGTTTATACCTCAGTCTTTAATCTGTTTTATGTATCGAGGTTACTGACAAGGTTTATTGGGGGGAAAAGTTCTGTTCCTAAAACATGCCTATAAACCACTGGCTGGGCCCAGCCCAGGGGAACAGGGAGGGCGATGAGGGTGAACGCCGGAGTAGTAGGCCTTCTGAACCCAGGCAGGGCTGGTGAGCAGGAAGCAGTGGATGTCAGCCCCCCGGGCCCCGAGGCCGGGCACTCCTGGCAAGGACACAGCCTGGACCACCTATTCCCATGGCCCTAGTGTCCCCTGGCCATTCAGTGACAGCGATGGGGACCTTTCCAAGGACAGCCTGGCGTGGGACCCGTGGACCTGCTGGTGGACGTGCAGGCCTCACGGCAGCCCAGGGGCCTCCACGCACCATGTGGAATCTGTTGAGTTACCAGCACCTCTCGTGCGTCCGTGTCTGTTTAACCAGATGGGTTCCTGTCGGGCCAGGCTTTGAACTGAGCGAGGAATTCAGGTGTCCCCTGACTTCCAGAGCAATAAAAGCTCTTTGGAACAGCTTTGAACCATCTATTTCCTCATTAAAGAGCTCTGGCTCTCCGGGAAGACAGACAGAGAAAGATAATTACAGCCCAGGGAGTCGTGTGCCTGGGGGTTAACCATCACGGGTCTCCTAGTGGGCCTTCCGGCTTCAGGCCTCCCACTCCTCCCACTGTACACTTTGCTGCCAGAGTGAACTTGTAGAAATGCAAACTGACCTTGATTTTCACCTCCTCCAGCGGCTGCCCGTTGGCCTCAGGAGTTCCTCCTGCCAGAACCTCTGTGTTAAGGCCCTGGCTCCAGCGTCGGTGGCCCCGAGGGGTGCTGTGCTCTGGCCAGGCTGCTGGCAGACCCCTATTCGCTTCCCCTCCAGGCCTCAGCACCTGTTCTCCCCCTGCTGGACCTGGCCTCTCCCTCTCCCTCACCTGGCCAGTCACTCTACTAGTATGTCCCTCGGGCCCCACTTTTGATGCCACTGACTCCAGGATGCCCTCCCCGACCTCCAACCCCCGCCCCAGACTGGCTTTGGCGACCCCATGATGCTCTCTTGCACGTGCTGTTCTTACAGCTCTAGCATAGACCTTACCCGCTGTGCCTTTGACACTGCAGTCCTCAAAGTCGGGGAGCACATTTCATTTGCTGTCCATTCATCAACTCTCAGATATTTCTGGGCCCCTACTTTGTGCCAGGTGCTGAGACTCATGAGCAAACAAAACACACACAGACCCCTGCCCTCATGGAGCTCACAGGCTGGCTCGGTGCTGGCGCAGGCACTTCGCTGGATAAACGGATGGCACTAGGTGCTGTGGTGCCCAGAAAGGAGGCTCGGGGGCCAGGCAGGCTGCATGGAGGAGGGGATGCTTAGGATGATGCCCTGATGGATGGGTAGGAGTTTTCCGGGCATACAATCAAAGAGTTCCCTGCTTCCTTACCCAGAGGCTGTCCTGGTGGCTGGGTGGCTCTCTCCCCAGGATCTACACTCCACCTTCACCTGGCTCCTCTTCTCTTGCAGAATGCATGAACTGTACCCGGCTCAGCGACATGAGTGAGCGACTGATCACGCTGGAGGCCAAGGTCAGACAGACTGGGGAGCCTGGTCCCGGAGAGCTGGCTGTGGGGAGGGTGCCTCAGGCACCTGCAGGGTGTGGCTCAGGGTGTGGCCCAAGCCTCAGGGAGCCCACCAGGCCTGAGCAGCCTGGTCCCAGGGGTTGGGTGCTACTAGGGCCTAGGCAGCTGTGGTGGCCTTCTGTAGGCTGGGCCAACCTCCTGGGGTCGGGGAAGGGAGTGGAAAGAGCAAGAAATCTGAAGGTCCCAGCGGCAGGCTGGTCTGGGTACAGGCCTGGGGGCTGAGGGACTGGATGCCTAGAAGTGGACCCCTCAAAGGAAGGAGTGGTTGTCCCACCAACGCCGCCCCAAGGGCTGCTTCCCCTGACTCTGGCCCCTCTTCCTGCTGTCTGGCATGAGCCTGGGCACAGAGGAGCTAGCTGATGGAGGAAGAGCTCCCCAGCACTAGCCAGCCCTTGCCCTTCTACATCAGGGGAAGGAGAAGGTCGCCTCAGAGGCAGAAGGACTTGATGAAGGATAAGTGTTTATTTGGGAATGGCCCCAGGTGGCCTTGGAGAAGAGGAAGGAAGGAAGCCAGAGAGGGAAGAATGTGCCGGGTGCAGGCGTGTGGCGGGGCAGGTTACCCGGGAGGGCCCCCGGGAGGCGGTGCAGAGCTTGCTGCAGAGCAGACCTCAGGGGGCCAGGATGCTCCCGTCCCTCACTGGGCGAGGTGTCTGCGGGGTGGTGTTCCCTGTCACTCTGGCCTGCCCCCCAGCTCACTCATGGCCAGAGAAAGTCCTTGGCAGGTACAGGCCAGGAGAAGGCAAAGCAGTGGGGGTCATGGGCTATGCCCCGGTGGCGGGGCCATTCTCAGTAGAACCCCAGGGGTCTGAGAGCAGGCGCTGGTGACTGACTAGAGGGGCTGGGCCTAGGGGAGGACAGACCCCTTGGGGCAGCAAAACTGCAGGGGGTGGGACTGCCTGGCCCCAGGGCAGAGCCAACACTGGGAGGCTGGCTTTACCTGAGCCCGAGGCAGAGCCCCAGCTGGGGCAGGTGGTTCAGCCCAGGAGAGAGTGCCTTGACGGAGGAGGTGGTGTGACAATGGCCAGCTACCAGGGAGGCCAGAGTGAGGCCAGAGCACTGAGGTGGGCAAGAGCCCTGAGCAGAGCCAGCTGTTCCCACCCGCCTGGCCCTCACGCAGAGACACACGGACACATATACATACACATAGACACATAAAGGTACACATGAACACACGGGCACACATACATAGACAACATACAGATACCACATACAGGCACATAGACACGTAGACACACATACACGTACACACAGCCCTTGCCAGCCCGACATGGCCGTTGGCCCGGCCCCTGCCTTGAAAGCTTGACTGTGAGGGCACCTGCCCCGTCAGATGGGGGCTGCAGGTGACTGTCACTTGGGGTCAGACATACGGGGACCACCCACCAGCTGGGCGACTTTAGCAAGCTCCCGCCTCCCTGTCTGCAGAATGGATGAAAGTCCCAGCTTCTGGCGGCTGCCGAGGCCTCAGGGGATTTGGTGGTGGGACCCGGCTTGGGAAATGGTTGGATGCTGGGCAGGTGGGAGGGTCCGTGTTATCATCTACTCCACGCCTCTGTTCCCACCATGAGACACAGGTGCACAGGAGATGTCCGTGCAGAGCACAGGACATGAAAGCCCCAGGGCTGGACGGCTCGTTGTCCCCCACCCCTGCTGTGGGAGGGAGGCTCCTCCGGCTGCCCAGGCTCCTGGTCACAGGCCCGGGTGGGGACCGGTGCCCTCCTGGGGGTCAGTGGCTTTTGGGCGCTGGGGATGGAGGCTTCACAGCGAAGATGCAGCCACGTGGGCCAAGCTACACGGGGATGGGGAATCCCTGGAGGAGTCACAGTGCTGGGGAAGATAACGGGGTGTACTTCTGGCACCCAAGATTTTAGGAAAGGCAGGGTCCCCGGGCCAGCTGCCTGACGGACATTTTCCAGGCACCTGAAGCCTTCGCGTGGTTTGGCAGAGCATCGGCCCACAGCCTGCCCTGGCCCCAGCCCAGCACCTCGGGGTGTTAAAAGTCACAGCTCCAGGGGAGGACTGGCACAGTGCCAGCTGTCCCCACCCACCTGGCCCTCACCCATGCCCTCCTGCCATGAGCAATTCCTTCCCACGTCCGCCCAGTCCTGACACCTCCCTCCATCTCCGCCCCAGCAGCAAAGTGTCGGGCGGCGGGCCGGTGGCCAGGCTTGCTCTCTGGCCTGAGCATCGTGACCCCTCAGCAGACTTTGGGGGTGGGGGTGGGGGGAACAGCAGGATGTGTTGGAGGAACCAGGGCTAGGGTTCCTGTCCTAGCAATAGCCCTGTCTTGGCACATCCCTCCTCGACTCCGGGCCTCATTCTGCTATCCCGTAAAACAGAGTTGAAGGAGTCACTTCCCTGCTCCTCACGGGGACATTGTGAGGCAGGTATATAGTGGGCAGCTCAGGTGGTTCTTGGGTGGGGAGTAGTGAGGGGAGGTAGCTTGGGTCTGGGATGTGCAAAGAGGTGGCTGCACCTATTTCCTTATGGGGAGCCCAGCTCAGCAGCCCACCGCCTTCTGGAGTCCCAGGCAGGGGCTGGAAGACTCCTGTCCCAGCTCACCTTCTAGCTGCCCAGCTGCCTGCTCCAGGCTCAAGCATCTCCTAGAGAGGTAGGGCCACCAGGAGTTTTGTTGGCCTGGGTCAGGGGGCCTTGGGAGGTAGTGGCCTGGAGAAGGAGAGGGTCACAATTTAGGCAAGTTGTCAGGACAGCCCAGCAGCCCAAGGGCATGTAACAAGGTTAGATGAGCCTGCAGGGGTCAGAGAACATGGCGCTGGGGCCAGGCAGGCCGGAGGCTGGGGTCTGGTGGCTAATGACAGACGGCAGAGCCAGGCGGTCAGACCCCAGATGGGAGTCAAATCAAGCAGCTGACATAGAGAGCAGCAGCCCAAAGGCCTGAAAGCTGAGACTTCTGCTCCCTCCGAGGAAGCCTGTTGGGATGTGTCAGGAGAGATCATTCAGGTACAAGTACCTAGTGCCAGCTGTTCCTTGAGGACATGTACTGTTTGTTTAACAAAAAGTCCTGGATTGTTTTGGTGGCTCAAGAACCCAGGCTCTTCACAGCCTCCCCCTTCACCTCTTTAGTGAATTATCTTTTGTCCTCAAGGTCCATGCCTCATGGTGACAAAGTGGCTACTGCAGCTCAAGGCATCACATCCTAACACCGAGTTCAAAAGCAGGAAGTAACCCCCAACAAACTCATTATGTCTCAGTGGCCAGCACTGGGCTATATGCCCTCCTCCTAATTGCCAGGGAGCTGGAAAAATGAGTACCTGGCCAATCATGATTCTTTCTCTGGGGCCCAACAGGGGGTTCTGGAGCAAGGGAAGAAGGGGCAGTGGGGTCCAGACAACCATTGGGGTAGCTCCATCTTCACTACCTGTAGGTGCTTGAGCTGCCAGAGGACCCAGTCCTAGCAGTTGGTCTGGGACTCCTACCACCCTCCTTTCCTGGGACAGCTGGGATGGCTGTGGGGGGACAGAAGACAGAAGGCCAGCAGGAAAAAGCTTTCGGCCTTCCTCCCTCTCCTCCCCCTCTGTTTTCACTCTGACTTCATGGGCCACAAGGAGTGGGAGGGAGCCCAAGGGGACTTCCCTGCGTGAGGGTCATAGAGGCCTCGGAGTTCGGCTGGCGTCTGGTGCCAAGCAGCCAGACCGCGATGACGTCATTAGGGCCACTGCCCCGGAAGGCCATGGTCTGGTTTTCTTGGGCCGAGTCCCCACGCCCACTGCCGCCTGCTTGGTGAGCTCATGCCCCGCAGGGTGGGATCAGCTTCTCCAGAAGGTTGGCCACGGCCAGGCCAGGAGGGCTTGGCCTCGGGCCAGGGCTGATGCTCACTTAGCCGTGGTCAGTGCTCCTCTGCCCGGTCTGTGGGCTCCGTGGGCCTGGTGTCTGTGTGGGAGGTGCCCCAGGAGGAAGTGAGCCAGGCCTTTTGTGTGGGGACAAGGCTGCATGTGGCAGGTGCCTCTGGGGAGCCCAGAGCCTGGCCATGAAGGGAGAACACCAGGGCCTGGCCCCAGGAGCCACGGTCAGGCACCCCCCCTTCAGTCCCCCCAAGCTGCCGGCCCCTGCTGCTCCTGCCTACTCCCTGTGAAATAGGTCCATATGGAGGTCCCCCCCTCCTGAGACACTGCAGCTGAACCCACCCCACACTGGTCACCTTCACCCCCAGTCATGCGCTCTCCCATGCCCTCGTTTGACTGGTGGCAATCCCACTGTCCCCAGAGCCGGACCAACAATGGGAGAGGCACTCCCACCTTCATCCACG